ACGTCGCACATCCCAGCACGCGACGTAAAAAGCACTCTTTTACGTCGCACCTGGGTGGCGCGACGTAAAAGAGGCTTTATACGTCGCGTGCTAGGGTGCGCGACGTAAAAGTTTTGTCTCTTATTTACAAAATTATCACCGCGTTTTATTTACGTCGAATATTTTTACATGCGACGACAATTGGGTGACGTAGAAGCCCTTTTTTGCACTAGTGCTAACAAAACAGGTAACAAAGTACACATCATGTATTTACAATTATTTACTAATTTACATAGAACCAAGAATATAGTTGGGGTTTTGCGTGTTTAGGTATTTTGTACATGAAAATGTGTAAAGCAACTAATGTTTGGACAAAAATAATGGGAGGTTGTACTTCACTATTACAATCATGGGCATGGCATCGCATGTCACATATTGCACCAATTAGTCGCTTACAACCAATGTATCCATTAGTGTGCAAATGGAGTGGGGACAAGGTTTTAAACTTTCAGAACGTACCACACAATAATCTGGTTGGGTCTTAGAGTAAAGATTGATCATATTCAACCTTATCAAGTGAACTCGAGTTAACACTTTTATTATTAAATATATATTTTAAATTAATTTTACTAACTACTTACTCATAACACTTTTATTATTAAATATATATTTTAAATTAATTTTACTAACTACTTACTCATAACACTTTTATTATTAAATATATGTTTTAAATTAATTTTATTAACTACTTACTCATAACTTCATTGTAGTTTTTGTAGACACCATATTAAGGGTTAGAAACATCAATAGTACTGATACAAACATACCGGGATTCATATTAGTGGACATCTTACACAACCATAATTTGTTTTGTAGTTATAAAGTGACATTAGTCTGATCGAGTCAAGTTTCAATTTAGTTTATTTTAGGAAGTCTCTTCTCCACCGCAAAATCTAGACAACCTCCACAAAATTGACATGCGCGGGAGACCTGATAAAAATTGGCAAATAAGGCATGCCGATTGGATCGATATACGGAACAACAGACGAGACATTATATTACAAAGTCACCATTGCAAGAGTCTTTCTATCACACAAGAGAATACATGGAATGATACAGTGTTAATTCCATTTATTTATTGTCTGTGCCAGAACTATTTCAAGATCCAAGAAACCAACAATATGCACAACCAATCACGCACATTTGAATCTGGCTCATCCACTACACCGTCATTTCATATGCCTTTACACCACTACTAGACACCTCCACCACAACCGCCAATGGATCTTACTCGACTTTCTTTTGCTTCAATTTCAGATGATTTTTTCTCAAATTTATTTGGCGAAAATCCCATAACACCATCATTTGCCCATGATTAATGCAATCAATCTATCCACCACAGTATCATCATGAAGGAACTAATTCCTCTGTCTTCCTTCCCCATGAATCACCTGAACAACAACCACCGCAAGAAGGATATCAAAGAAGAAATTCAGGACGTAATAGACGACATTCTCATTGTGGAACTGGTCACTATTACGGAGACTAGTTTAACTTTTCTGTAAACTTTTGTATAATGCATAATAATTGTACTTTAACTTTTTCTGTAATACATATTAACTTTTTTGTAATATATTTTAAGTGTAGTATGTTTTTGTAATATATTTATCAAATTCTTAAAATATAACAAAATTAACTAAATTTCAAATAACAAGAAAAATTATTAAATGTTATTTTATAAAATATTTTTATCTAATTATTTAATATTAAAAGTTAAATATGATAAAACTCCTCTGTACCACACACACTAAGACATATTGCCCAATATCTCAACAAAACTAATGGTCAAGATTATATTCCAAAACATAAAAAATCAAGATGTAATCAGCATTGTCCTAAACCAACCTAGGGATGCATGGAATATTGTTCAAGATAAGACTCTTCTATATTACACACTAATGCACACAACCCAATATTCATATTGTCAAGACCAACATCGAAATATTATTCAGGATAAAATTCTTGTGTATCATATACTGTTTAAGGTGTTAGCAAAAAGTAATGGTCAAAATTTAATTCCCATAGATTAACAATTCACATTTAACATACATTGTCCATATGTACATTATCCAAGATCAATATCGAAATACTGTTCAGGATAAAATTCTTTTGTACCATATATTGTTCAAGGTGTCAATAAAATGTAATGGTCAAAATTGAATCCTCAAAGATAAATGATTCATATTTAATACACACTGCCCAACGTGAAAGTCAAGTCATCAATATGTTGTCTAAGACCCAACTCAAAATACAATAATTTTTTATGAGGGCATTTTCGTTTACATAATACAGTAAATGAAATATAAATTCAAGTTTGATCTCATAAAAAATTTGCCCACTCATCTTGCCTATCAACACTCATATCCAATATTTGTGTTATTCTTCCTTTTACTCTTCAAATGGAGGAATTTGACATTACAAATATTGAAAATTTTGATAATTTTTATCTTGCAACAGTGTTTGCAAATGGAAAAATCACAACAAATGAGGAAGGGGTATACTTTCAATGTGCATCTCCTAAACTTTTTTGAATTCCACACAGTTACACATTTATCATCCTGAAGGAAAAAAATATGCATTTCTTTAGGGATTCCTATATACACTTCAATCAACAGGTTGTATTAGAGTCAACCAAAACTAACAAGTGATGGTTTAATTATATATGATGTTATTGAACTATTCTCTGATATTGATGTATCTAACATGATTACTTGGAAGTCACAATTCTCTTTAGATACTATCATTGAATTATATATTCAATATACAAGATCCATTGATGAAATAATTATACTTTTAAACGCTCATGTTTCTACCTTTTCTGCAAACTTAAACAACATCCTTTCCTTTGAAGCTATAATTTACTTTGGTAGACTTATTCAACGTGCAACCATCATGGAAAGTCAAAATGGTTTTGGTCTTACTTATACATGTTTAAACCCTAGAACAATGGTAATCCAACGTACATGGTCTTTTGTTGAACTATATGAAAACATTACTCAAGTATTTCATTATGGAGATCGCAAATAAATTAATGAAATCAACTATCGTCGTCCAATTCGGATGCAAAACCAGAAGATCATTCACGATGCAGTATAGATAAAAACTGATGCTGATATGACTCAAATGATCAACTGTTGAAAAAAAACACAATTTCTACACCCAACTGTACAACGTGAACAAACATGGGGAAAAATTAAATTGTTTATTCAAGTTAAGACTATATAAAGGACAAAATCTGACAAAATCATTCATATGACTTAAAAGATAGTACATACGTTGATAAACATGAGATAACAAGATCTACATTTGTTTCGTAATTTATAATATGATTATTCAATTACCATTTATCTTGTATTATTTTTAATTTAGTTGGATTTCGTATTAACTCTGTATTATTTCAACTATACACCATTAATATATGATCTTTTAATATTTTATATCATGAATATATATGTATTTATTATATTTATACAAATATATTAAACATATAATTATATGAATATATTTTTATGATATAATTATATAATATATATAAATATTATATTTATTTACTAAAAATATTTTTTATTAAATAAATACTTAAATATTATATTATTATTATTATTATTATTATTATTATATATATATATATATATTACACATATAATTATACAATATATTTTTATTATATATAAAATTATATATTTAATTTATTATATATTATATTTAATAAAATTATAATGTATATAACAAAATATAGATATGTATTTATCATATTTATAAAAATATTTATATATAATTTTATATTAAAACTATTTTATATTATATTAATAAAAATGTATTTATCATATTTCTATAAAAATAATTATTTTTACTTACTAAAATTATTTTATATTAAAAATATATTTAAATAATATATATAAATTATTTGTATAAAAATGTTATGGAGAAAGATATAAATATATATTTATTATATTTTATTATATTTATAAAAATATAAATAAATATTTAAATATTATATATATATATATATATATATAATATATTTTTATTTATTATATTTATGAAAATATTTTAATAATATAATTATATAAATATATTTTTATGTTATATAAAAATTATATTTATATTTATTTCACATATATAATATTTATATATTTATTATATATATATATATTTAATTTATTTTTAATAAATATTATTATTTTTTAAAAATTTATTAATTTTTAAGACAGAAATTCGCGTCCCATGAACGGAATTCCGACCATGCATCAAAAATATAATATTCAGGTAAATTATGGATATACTGTAATATCCACGAATATTTACCTCAATTCACAACTAAATTGAAAAAAAAAAAAAAATCCACATTTGTGTGTATAGGACTCTAGTCGCATCACTTGGTCAAATTTTGGAAAGAAAAACCGGTTACAATATGGCACAAAAAATCTTGAATATTTTTACTAATTTACCACAACATAACCATTGAATTCTTCCCTCTTGAACTAACATGTTTTACCACCGGGACATTTTCATTAAGTGGTGTTAGTATTTTTATCTGGTTCGTTTTACTGCACATTTTTCATTGCTATATTTTTCCACATCCAAAATAACAATTCATGAAAGACTTCTTTGTCGAATCTAGTGTGAACAACTTGACATCCATTTCAACGAACGGGGAATTAATCAAAAGTTAAAACCTCATCTCATTTGTCAAAATTAACCCATTTATGGTCATCACTTTTAACAAAGAAATAACAAATTTGGTATTCACATAGCTAAATTACATAACCTCACCTCCTTCATTATCTTGTAATTTTCACTTCTTCTTTTTAACCCCTCTCTCTCTCTCTCTCATTTTCAGCGTTTACTAGGTCCCAAAATTGAGTTGATGATTGGTGGGTAAGTGCAATACACGCACCTTAATAATTACAAGTGTATATTTATATTTAATAAACACAACACCACCCCTACAATTTCTCTTAGCTAACTAATAACTGTTCGCCACGTGTACACTCTGCCACTTGACCTCCCACTTGCACCTGCCCCGACCCCACCACCTTCTTCCTCTTCGCCGGAGCCGCCCCACTTTCCGGTAAAGACGACCGCTTTGACTTCACTCTCACCGGGTCGGGCTCGCCGGAGTTAACCCTCAACGGAAAATTCAGCAACGCCCTCGACCCCCGCATACGGTAGGCGGCACGGTCGTACGCCAACGCCGCATCCTCGGCGGTCTCAAACGTTCCCAGCCAAACCCGCGCCCCGTTTTTCGCCGGGTCCCGAATCTCCGCCGCGAATTTCCCCCATGGCCGCTGCCGCACGCCGCGGTAGTGCTTCCCCTTCGCCGGAGAAGCCTTCTTCTCCTGCTTCCCCACCGCCGCAGGAGGAGGCGGACTCGTCACCGCCGGCATAACGTCGGGCTCCAGCTTCACCGAGATATCCGCCGTAAGACACGAGGAAACGCTATCGGGCGAGCCGGCGTTAAGAGATGGGACCCACCCCACGTCAACGGCGTCACGGAGCACGTCGTAGAGCACCATGTCTTCGGAATCATCCTCCTTCAACGGAAGGTCGCCCCAATTGTCGCTCAAACACGAGTGCAAGACGCCGATACCGGAGCTTCGACCCGATGCACAAGTAGGGGCTCCGAATATCGATTCGGACTCGCCCAGCAAGTGGCGCCGAATCGAATCCAAGAGTGCCAAATCCGATTCGTAGGTACTATTCTGTCCGTACATCTCCCGTTTCCTGTGTTCCCGTTTAAAAGTATCGTGGTGTAAATCTAATTGCTTTGTAAAAGATTTTAGATAGTGAGGGATTTGGATATTTTTGAAGAGGGTATTGAATATTCGAACTTTGAAGGTTTGGAATTGGTGGGTATTTATAGGATTGTAGGTTCATGAATCTGGGTTTTCTAATTTATCGTTTGAATTTTGGATATTTTATTTTATTGCCTTTTCCATCGTGTTGGAGTCATCGACTCAGCTTCGCTGAAGGTTCGCATGTGTTAAGTGTAAACGGCAAGTGCGCATTTTCATCACGTGTTTTAATTGCGACCATTTTTGCTTTAGATAAATCAAGTCTTGCGGAATTTTCTTACAACAATTCCAATCGTATTAACTGAGGAATAAAATAAAAAAGAGAAAATCGTAATATTATATTGCAAGGTAAAGTCTTTATCTTGCTACGTAAACGAGAAATTAAATTAAATAAAAAATGTTTAAATTATAAAAGATAGAGAAAATATTTTGTTTTGTTTTTATCTTCTTTATTAATTAATGAGTTTGAGTCAATTTCTGGTGACGAAAATAATACATGTGTGACGCCATTTAGCTTACAGTGCAGACAACTTGCTTCCTTGCTTGTCTTATCTGTTGTCACTTTTCCATGCTGCATAGTCGTTCATTATTTTTTCTCATACGCCTATATTATGTCTCTATTTTTACTCTTTTTTTCTCTCACTTCGTAGATACTCAAAATAACTAAAACATTTTAGACATTATTAATCAAATATATTTAAAGTGTTAGGACATAAGATAAGTTTTGAAAGAAAGAAAAACAAATGAGTCATGTAATGATTTTTAAACTTATCCAAATAACTTTTAATCAAGGTTAGTAAAAGAACCATATATTAAAAACTTTCTGAATGAAACCCTTAATATATAATAGAGTTAAATAAAATAAAACTATAAAAATATATATTGTGCAGTTTTAACTAAGGAAACAAATAACAAAAATTTGTGAGAAATGTAAAGAGAATGAAGTATAGTGTAAAAAGGAACGTAGGTGAAAGAAAAATGGCAAGGAAAGCAAGGAGAAGGATGAAAGAATAGGGATACAACGATTGTGGACACATTTGCGGGTTTTGCATTATAACTGTTCGTGGATATGTCTCTTCCAAATTGAATAGTCCTGGAGAGGACCCCACGATCTCAATTTGCAACTCACATCATCACAGTGGTAACCATCTATGCTTTTTGCTTTTTAGTGTTTTCCAGGACAGTATCTACGAATCGCCATTCAACAAACCACTACCCTTTTATATTCCATTATTTGGGTTTTGGATTTACACTGCAGATAAAGGTTATCCACCATGAGCCAATTCATCATTATTTTATCCCAAAATAATTAGGTGTCACTAACAAAAACCACCCACTGTCTCACTATGTTGCTTGTTCTGGATTTGAATGTGGCCCAGTCGACATACTAGTGGATGGTCATCTAGTATGAACATGTATACAACTGAATTCTTTAAGTTTGATATTCGAATTCATTGATAAAGATTCTTTCATTTCGAATAACTTATCATGTATTTGTACACACACATATGTCAGACGGCAATTATTATTTAATTTTAGTAACAAATATTTTACGAATTTTAATATTTATATTCAACGTTTAATATTTTAAATAATTTGTTTACACAGGCTGAAAGTTATACATTTTTTTTATGTAATATATCTTGTGATTAGAAAATGAGATATTATTTATTCTTATAGTTTTCGATCTATAATAACTAAGAGTTATTATTATTTTTAGTTCTTTTTTATAGAAATAATTTATTATTTACATAAATAAGAAATGAAATATTATTCTGTTCTGTATTATAAGTCGGTCTTCTTGTTCTATCAAAAGTTTACTTATATATTTAGAGACTATTCGAACGATTTTTTCTATTTCGTTATAAGCACTTGTAAGAAAGTAAAATAAGAAAATAAAATGTGCTTATATATAAATTAAAATTAACTTATTATAAATTGAAAAAAAAAATAGTATATGTGCAACACTATCACATTTATAACAACTTTTTAACTATCGAGTTAGTATATAAAGTTTTTTTATCGTAAAAATGATTGTATCCTTTATAATTTCTAGATTAATTGATTTGTAATATTCCAAAGATTTTTATCTTTATTATTATTATTATGAAAATTATAAATAATTTAAATTTATAATTTAAATATTGAATAATTAGGACGACCTTGAGATTTTTCATTAAATACTCTTAATTTTTAAAAAATATTTTTAACCTCATGAATTAACAATATTAAGTATATTATTTATTTTAACTGAATTGATTAGAATAAATTTTATTTTTTTTACACCAGCCAAGTGTTTTCAAAATAATTATAAAAATGAAACCAAATAAAAAATACGATTTCTAAGATGTGATGAGATATATGATTAAAGAAAAATGTTTGTTTACTAAAATTAATTTTTTCTATCTTTTATCATAAAATTATTTTTTAATGTCTTATCTTGTGTATGAATGAGGAGGAGATTTAAGGTAATTTTAGTGAATTTGTGGGATTGTTTGGGTTAATAGAAAATTAATAAATTTAAAGAGATTTATTGTAGTGATGTGATTGATATAATTAAATATAAGATAATTGAATAATAATATTTTTAATATAATGACGAAATTACCTGATAAAGTAAGATGAATAAATTAAATAAAAATTAAAGGTGTAATTATTAAAAAATTATATTTATTTTTAAAATTAGATATGATCAAATTTAATTTAAATTATTATTATATTTATTTTAAAATTATTTTTACTTTTTAAAATTTATCGATTTTGATAAATATAACATTTTAAATTCATAATTTAATTTTAAAAACAAGAAAATTTATTTTTTATACTTTAAAAATGTAATGTTTATTTATGAATTTTTATTTTAATAAAATTAATAAATAAATTAAATATAATTTTAATATTTTCTAAATGTAATATTATTATTTTTTTATTAAAATCAATAGAAATATTTTTTTAGTTCTAAAAATTATTTATTAAATTTTAAAATAAAAAGATAAAAATATTATTTTCATGTTTTAGTTTCTATACTAAAATTATAACTAAACCCTAAAATATATATATATATATATATATATATACATGGAGAGAAAACTTCAACAATAATATTTTTATATTTTTTTTTCTTAATCTTCATTTTCTAACTTTCTTTACAAATTAGGTTTGCTCCACTTTTTAACTTTCCCGCGCCTTGGTCCAAATAGGGTGTTAGTGATATGCTAGTGTCACCAAAGTCAGAATATGATTTTGTTCTTGATGGAGACATCTCAACAAATATAAAAAAAAATATCGAATAAAAGTTTATGTAGGGCGTCTGTGAAATTAATAGAGGGTTAAATGTGACATTGACAGAAAAATTTCGTTTTTAACAATATATTTTACTATATGAAATGTATAAGTAATATACTATAATATAAGGAGTTTTATAAATAAACAAAAATACAATGATAGAAATAATATTAGTAGACTTAGGGTTATTATTGTAATTTAGTCTAAATTTTTTATATACAATATTTTTATACTGAATTGATGTTTATTTTTTTCTCTTTCTTGTATCATCTCTTGTGTTATTCTTTCTTATAGTAAATTTCACCAACATTTAGTCTCAAGTGCACGTGTTAGGCCCCATATATTACGTAAATATTAATAAAATAAAATAAATATCAAATGTTTAAATTTGATTTTGGAGTTGGAGTCTTTGCTAAAATACAATATTGTTCTCTAGCTCTTTTCCAACTTTTTTTTTAAATAAATTACTCTTTAATGGTCATTAATTAGTAAATATCGTCTTAAAAATAATTTGAGTGATATAATTTATTATAATTCATGTTTGTATTATATTATTTTATTTTAAAAAAATACAAATATTGATTGGATTTTGGTCCCCACCTGACCTCTACTTAGATGCTGGTCACTTGTGACGACCCGTGAAGTTAAAACTCCTTATTTCCTTCTACGTTTCAACATTGGAATGTAAGCTTTTCCATTTCTTTCTAACAAGAGATATCACAAGTATACTACATAGATTATTGAATTAAGGTTTTTATTTTTCTTTATTTGGTGACGTAGTAGACAGATAAAAGTATGAGTAAATATTGATTTTGGCATTTAAAATATTTTGAATGGGACAGACGAAGAAGACAGTCCCACGTAACATAACATAAGCATTACAGAGGCTTTGAAGCTGACCAATGACCGTAACAAATTGGGACATTTGACTTTGACTTGAAAATTTGTCTTTGATATTAGGAAGCACGTATTAGTGACTACGTGCCAAGTACCAACCCGTGCGCACCGCAATGTTTGAGTCTTGTAAAATCTTTTTCCTATTACGAAAAACAACACCTCTCCCTTCAAATCTTCAAAGCCAGTTTGAACACGTGGGGCCCCAGTGGATTTACCTCACCAGGTGTGAAATATAGGACCCAAATTAATCAATTAAATAACAACCAGATAATGATAGAAAGAAATCACCACGTGCACAAAATAAAGCGAATCACTCTACCAATGCAATTCCTAATTTGGTTGAATGATTAAAGTTAAAATATATTTCTAGAATTGTTTAAGAACAAGTTGTTGATTATTCTAAGGTCTAGCCAAACGCTTTGGCAATATCTCTACGCATAGATACGTAAAATATTTTGATTCAAACAAGTTGAAATATTTTCCAATATAAAATTACGCATCCTTTTCAAGTTGTGAATCTTATAATAATATATGTTGTGGTCGGGGTTTACAATAATTGAGGGAGTGCATGCATGTGATTTGTCATCAAAAGGAAGAAGTGATAGAGAGTAATGAACTGTGTTACATTACATTAATCAGCTTGTATAATCATGAGGAAATGCGAGGTAAGCACGTGGTCATCACGTGGTTGCCAGATGGAAACTGGAATTAGTTGGTTTAGCCATGTATGCCTTTGT